TCTAATTTATCTAAAAATGACGATAATATATTGTCATAAAAACATTAGTAAATATAAGTCATAAAAAATTTCACTGATTTTTAATGTACCGTCAAACGTTTTTACTATGTCATATAAGCAATCAGTAACCTGTCAGAGAATCAATAATCGACGTGTTATTTGGTTTTAACCAATGAAATTTGACCAACATAAATGGCCATGTTGAAAGAAAAGAGTGCAATCAACATGATCAAGCTAACATTCTTTAGATTCCTTATGTTCAGAAGCATCTCTATGTCCTGTCAATTTGTCATGATTTGAAAGTTTTTGTTGGAGTTTTTTTTTTTTTTTGAACTATAACACTACTTTCTTCATTTATTGCCAAAATTTCAAAAATTAAAAATTTAAATTTTTTATTTAAATATTATTTAATAAATTTCATGTATGTGGTCATCTATTCAAGAGCTTATGCAAATTTAATAGTGAGCTTTTTGAACACCTCTAGGAATGTAGAAAATTGTTGATTCAATTTTTTTTATTAATCTCTATGGAAAAAATTATTGGTGGTCTTATTACAACTTTCCTAACATGTTCCTATCTTTCCAAGTCCTCTAAAAGATGTTTAATTTATTTATTATACTTAGGAATTGTTTCTTTTGACCTCTCCTCATCACTAGCCAATTTTTCTAACACTTTTTTACTCCTCAATTGGACTGTATTATAGTTTTCTATATTTTGATTGTTAGGGTTCACCTCAGTGTTTCTTGGTAATATCTCTTGGGATCTATGACTCAATGAGTTAGCTAACCACACTAATTGATTTTTATTCTTCCTTGTGGTTGAAACAAAACTTTGTAATTAGTTCCCCATTTATAACACCACTTCTTCTAAAGATAATTTTTTTTTCTTTGAATTTAGAATTGGAAGTGAATTCTAGTAAGGAGCTTAAGGTTTTATTGAATTATTATCCTAGTTTTTCCATTTTTGTAATGAGTTGGGTTGATTGCTACATCATTGTTGATGTCCTACACCTTGGACTTTGTTATTCCAATTAAAATTTAGGTAATTCTTTCATCCTAAGTTATATTTGTTTCAATAAGGGTTATTAGGTATATTATTAATATAATACAAACTTCATGGACACAATACTAAGATCTACTAATTATCTATAAGTACTTTCTTTGATTACTAGGGATCCTAGTTTAGAGTTTAAACATAGATTATCTAGCTTCCTTCATATAGTGGCTACTTGTGAAGTTGTAATTGCTAACACATCAGTATCATGGATCCTAAATACTCTCATAGAATTGATCCTCTTGGAAGGCCATTAAAACTTATTGATAGTCATTTCCTTGATTAAAGCATTGGAATCCTCAAATAGTTTTGACATTAAAGACCGCCCCACCATAACTTTTATAATTGATCTCAATTATCTCACCAACCAGTTATAAAAAGTTTAAATAATTAAACAATCTATAAGGCATGGTGTGGGCGTTTCTAAAAAACTTTTTGTACCTCTTCTAGGCTTCATAAATGATTTCATTGTACAATTGGGAAACATATGTTATTTCATTTCTAATTTTAGTCATTTTGGAAGGATGTAAGTATTTGCTTAGAATTTCTATGTGAGGCATTCCAAGTGTTTACTAAATTGACACACATTCTTGTCTAATCATTAGGAGAAAAAAGATTAACATACATCTAACATCATTATTATAGACACCATTATATCTAAAGATTGCACACAACTCTAAAAAGTTGGTTTAAAAAAAATTAGGTCTTCTATAGGTGAATCTTTAAATTATTATTTTTTTTTGAACAACTAAATTATGACAGGTTTGAGTTCAAATGTATTGGTTTCTATGGTAGAGTAATGTTTAATTATCTACCAATGGATTGGCAAAATCTCTAATTTTTGTAGGTTGAATGTTTCTTTCCTAAGAGTTTGCCATTTATCCTAAAGAATTTTGGAGTTTTGTGAGTTTTCTAATTTTTTTTGTAATTTTCTTTTAATTTTACAGTCAAACTGTATTAGTTCAAAAGATTCAATCTTGAGCATGCAATCATGGACAAACTATAGACTCTAAACTAATAAATAACTCAAATCAATTAATAAAATAATCTCAAAATATAACTAAGCAAATATGTGTCAAAAAAAATAGTAAAATCTCAAGTCATGAAATTTTTGGAATTTTTAATACCGTAAATAACAACATAGAAAATTGAAAACATTAAAGTACTGCTTGTTTCAAAACCTAAACTTCAAAATTCTTTCAAAAATTTAGCTAAAAAGAAAATTTAATTTTGCTTCCATGTAGCATCACCAAAAACTTGATTTGTGATGCGTTGAAGCACGCATCAGTCTTGGAATTTTATATATATAGATGATTGGATACTGAGCAAATCAAGAAATCCTTAAAGTGTTATCTCATAAATCCTTGATTTGCTCATGCCCACTTTTTATTTTTCTACAAGGTAGTTGATAGTAAGAATTACTAAAATGATAATGATAAAAAGCACTTATTAGTGCCTTACCATTAGAGAACATTAGTAAAATTAATTACAAATCAAGCGCAGGTGAAACAGAGAAGGTCGCGTCTAAGCGTCAGAGGCCCCGTGCTTAAGCGCCAGTGACAGTTACATGACGGGTTAATTTATTTTGAAGAATTTTGAAGGGACATTTGAGACACCTATTGGCTAAAATAGGTGGTTATAACCACCAAGGACGAAAATATATCTAAAGGACTTGTGAAAGGAGGATTCCTTTGGTAAATGCATCGAATTAGGAACCATTTTGAAGAGATACCAAAGCACCTGTTGGAAAATTATAAAAGAAAAAAGTTGAGACTTTTGAGAGGGTCTTGAAAAATCCTAAGAAGTTCTGAAAGGTTCTTGAAGAAGTTCGTGGAGAAGCTCTCGAAGAAAATTTCAGGCCCCACAAATTTATTTTCCTTTTTTTTTATTTTTATTTATGTTAATTTCTTCTCATCAATTATAAACTTAGCTTCTCTTTGTCTTACACTTGATTGAGCAGCCTCGATCATAGTGAGTTTCTCTCTTCATTTTCTCAACCCTTTTTGAAACTCTCATCTTGTCATTGTGATTTGTTATCATTCTTTTTTAGCACAAGCAAATGTCATCTTATTGTATTGGCAGGACTAGGTCCTTCTAATTATATATATCATATATGTGTAGACACATTTGTTGACCTTCTATATATGGCAATTCTTTTGTTTTTTTATTTGTAGTACTGAAGCTTTTTAATTTATCACCCCATTTCTTTAAGATGGATCTTATTTTGCAATTAAAATTTGCATGTTATTCAGATTAAAAATTTTAACTCCATAGAGACAATGGGCTATGTATTCTCATTTCTAACATCTAAACTCTATTTTTTATATTTATGTCACTTCAAGTTATTCGTATCACATCATAGTATATATATATATATATATATATTATATATATAAATTGAAGTTTATCTGTGTGCTCTTAGTCTCTAACAGCTTGTCGAATTAGTTTTTGTTTGTATAAGAAATTATTCAGTGGGTTTTTAAATTTTTTATTATTATTATTTTTAGGAAGAGGAATAGAAAGAGCTTGGATTTCACTTTCTTATTTGAGCCACTTATGAGCTTGTCCCTGAAAAATTAATTTGATTTGTGCTATCTCAAAATTATTTAAAAACGCCTTAGAATATTGCACGATGAACTCGACAAGTTTGATGCATGATATGAATCAATAAATGCCTATGCTGATCACAAAATCATTTATTTATTTATTTATTTAAATACCAATGTTTCTGAAGTAAGGAATTATTCTTTAGAATATAAGATATTATCATCTAAAAAACAATGCTCATTTCTATGCATCATTGAAGCTACTTCCTGATCACCCACCCGAGCACGGATGGCTTGTTGTCTAGTGCAGAATTTTTTTCCATCTCCTGCACCCGGCATGCCACAGATCCGGGGACGAGTCTCTGGTGCACAGGTTGTTCCTACTGAGAGCTTATGTTCGTGTCAATTGATGGAAAGGAGGGACGATTGCACCAAGAGACCCAGTGGCAACGACCGGAACAAAGCCAACCACATCTTTTAATGGCCCGATGCCTTTGACATCCTCCATCTCGATCGAAACATCTGCATTTAAAAGGAATGTTAAGTTATTGTGCAGCAATAAATCAAAAGAAATTTCTTTCAAACCCATGAGCCTCTCAAGCTTCTACACAGTTAAAGGAAGAAGTTCCTCTCCTGCTAGGGCGCCACCTCTCCTTTCCTCTGGGGCCAGGAACGAAGGGTCAGCCGCCACCTCCGCTCTTGGGCAACTATGATCATAAGCAGCCCCCTCCCAGGGTAGGGTCGACGGGTCCACCACAACCCTGTCCTCACTCAGGCCTAGATCCACGGTTTTTCGATGAAGCCTCTTCGGCGGCCGTCTTTCGGGGCCCTTGGAAGAAGCAACCTGATTTATCGTCTCTCACCCCTTCTCTCCTTTTAAGGACTGATGTCATGATAGGAGGTCTAAATCCCGCCAAGGTCAGTAGGCGTCGACTGTCTTTTTACTCTTTCTTCCGCTCTTTTTTATCTTTTATCTTTCGATTCAGACTCTTGAGATGTGCTCACAAAAAGACAAGTTCAGATTCAACATCCAGAAATGTGGTGTGATGAGTGTGGAGTTTGCCACAGATGTGAAGTGAGACTACGAAGGAGAAAATTTTCAAAGAGAGATAGCACACATGAAACCCAATAGAGACGTTGCGCAACTGGACGTCCATGCACAAGTTTAGGGCCTACAAGCCCAAATGACCCTCATGATGGAGCAATTTGAGGTTCTTCGGGTAATGATCACAAAGCCTACATCTCGCTGACGTGGATTCAATAAAACCAGATAAGAACGAATACCGTATCCCAGGCGGTGAATCCACCTGATTCCCCAACGCTTCAAGGAATTACACATAATGTCCCCACCTTGATTTAAATCATTACCCACTCCACATAAAGCCAACCCAAAAAAAAATGGCATTTCCGTAAATAAAAAGCAAAGCAGCAGCTGAGCGACACCAAGCTTTCTCACCAATGGAAGCTAAAGACGAAACCCTCGCTCTCTTCGACTCCAACTGGTTCTACCGTTCTATCCTTAGCCGGACCCCGAGGATTCAACCACAGCCTCCAAAAGATAATCTTCCGGCGATCACTCCAAATTCTCTTTCGTTGGAGCCCTCTCTCACCACCTCGCACAGTGGGCATCGCTGTTCACGCTGCGAAGAGCACATCCTTACCCCGCTTACTTCAATCCAATCCCCCAAATTCCAGACTATTTACTCCCTAGGTGAAAGCAGAGCGCGGAGAATGAGTCGAGATAGGCATAGACGAGATTCGAAAAGAATAAAAAATTGGGGAAGCAGAAGCTTATCGGATCTGGAATTTGAGGAGCTAAAAGGGTTTATGGATCTAGGATTTACGTTTTCGAATACAGAGGCTTCGGATCCGTGGCTGATTTCCATTGTGCCTGGTCTACAGCGGCTGAGAACGGCGAATGGAAGCGAATTGACGGTTACGGATTCTTCGTTGGCATCGGAGATGTCGGAGGAGATGGCAGTTACGAGGCCGTATCTTTCGGAGGTGTGGGAGGTGGAGCGGGAAAGGGAGGAGAGGAGTAGGGTTTTAAGGAACTGGAGGACGCCGGGTGAAGGAGAAGGAATTGAGCTGAAGGACCATCTACGGTTCTGGGCCCAAGCGGTGGCTTCCGCCGTTGTTTGATTGCTAGATGGGTAAAGTTCGCTGTTTTGCAGATGTAAATTTGCAAACTAACCAAGCAATGGAAATTCTATTGTGTTTTATTATGGTGTTCTGTTTCAAAATTATTTTTCTTGTTCTCAGGATCATCAATCATCATTGCTCTCAAGCAAGCAGTTTTCCGCAATATCAGCTAATTTCTATTTGCTGGTTTAGGGTTTAGAATAATCACTCTAAAAAAATTGATCAATGTTAAGATTCGGCAGGATATTCATAAACTAATGGGATAAATATAGTCAACTTGATCATTGAAATGAAAGAGCAAGATATGCGCACATGTTATTTACCATTGCCACTACTATTAATGAAAAGTAAGATTTATATACATACCACTCAATTTAATTTTATTTAGGTATCTAACACCTAAAATTCTCTCTCTCTCTCTCTCTCTCTCTCTCTCTCTCTCTCTCTCTCTCACCCCTCATGCGTCTATAATTCGAGTACCACACCTTACACTTGGGGGGAATCGAACCTCGGATCAGAGGAGACTTACAACTGACAAGCAGATGTCCGACCAACTGATCAGAGTATGCAGCATATATATAGATATATATATATATAT